CGACGCGGCCTATGTGCGGCTGGGCCCGCACATCCCCACGCTGCGACTGAACCGCTTCCTGCGGGTACCCCGGCTCTTCGAGGCCTTCGACCGCACTGAGACGCGCACGGCTTACCCAAACGCCTTCCGCATCGCCAAGCTGATGCTGTACATCTTTGTCGTCATCCATTGGAACAGCTGTCTCTACTTTGCCCTGTCCCGGTACCTGGGCTTCGGACGCGATGCATGGGTGTACCCGGACCCCGCGCAGCCTGGCTTTGAGCGCCTGCGACGCCAGTACCTCTATAGCTTTTACTTCTCCACCTTGATCCTCACCACCGTGGGCGACACGCCGCTGCCCGCGCGCGAAGAGGAGTACCTCTTCATGGTGGGCGACTTCCTGCTGGCCGTCATGGGGTTCGCCACCATCATGGGTAGCATGAGCTCTGTCATCTATAACATGAACACGGCCGATGCGGCTTTCTACCCCGACCACGCGCTGGTGAAGAAGTACATGAAGCTCCATCATGTGAACCGCAGGCTGGAGAGACGCGTGATTGATTGGTGAGCGCACAGTGTTCCCGGACCAGGCCAGGGAAGTGCGTGCGCCAGAATTTAACTGCTTCTCCTCCAAGGAGATCACCATGTGGCTCACGCCTGGCATTTTAGCTTCTCAGGGGGCTGAGATCTGAGAATCACAGAGAGATAAATTCCAAGAGGCTCTTACTTCCAATTAACCACCCAGAAAGCTGGAAGAAGTCAGGTGTGGTTCAAGTGGTAGAGCACCAACTTTGAGCTAAAAAAAAAAAAAGCTAAGGGACAGCACCTAGGCCCTGAGTTCAGGTCCCAGACTGGGGAAACAAACAAACAAACAAAAAAAGTGATGATCACTGGTAGATCTATTGGATCTAGTCAATGGCTCAGAAGGCTGGGGAAGGAGTTAATGAAAAGGGGCATTATCCTCCTCAACGCTCACCCCTCCTTCCTCATTGTTCACCTTTCCACACCCTCACTCCCCTGTACCTCCTTACTCTTTCCTCCCTCATCCCACTACTTTGTCTACTCTTTTTTTTGGGGGGGGGTGTCCAGTCCTGGGGCCTGAACTCTGGGCCTGGGCGCTGTCCCTCAGCTCTTCAGCTCAAGGCAAGCACTCTACCACTTGAGCCACAGAGCCACTTCTGGCTTTTTTCTTTTTTGCTTATGTGGTGCTGGGGAATCGAACCCAGGGCCTCAGGCATGTAAGGCAAGCGCTCTACCACTGAGCCACCTTCCCAGCCCACCTTGCCTACTCTTTACCTGTACCTTGCTCTCTGAGACTGGCCAACAGATGGCTGACTCTATGATATTATTCATTGTCAAGTGACAGAGATCTTCTATGCCTTAAGTAAAGTAGAAGTCTGGCTAAGAAAGATCAGGTAGCTATTCCCAACTCCTATGGCCCCTTCGACATCTCACTATGGTTGGCTCTTGGCTGAGCTGAATTCTGATGGAAAGGGTGGAGGCAGGTGTGCCGATCAGGAAATGCTTCTGCCTCTCTTCCAGGTACCAACACCTGCAGATCAACAAGAAGATGACCAATGAAGTAGCCATCTTACAACACTTGCCTGAGCGCCTAAGAGCAGAAGTGGCAGTGTCTGTACACCTGTCTACTCTGAGCCGGGTACAGATCTTCCAGAACTGTGAGGCCAGCCTGCTGGAGGAGCTGGTTCTGAAACTGCAGCCCCAGACCTACTCACCGGGTGAATATGTATGCCGCAAGGGAGACATCGGACGAGAGATGTACATCATCCGCGAAGGTCAGCTGGCTGTGGTGGCAGATGATGGTGTCACACAGTATGCTGTACTGGGTGCAGGGCTCTACTTTGGGGAGATCAGCATCATCAACATCAAAGGTGAGATCCTGAGCATTTGTCTTGGGGAGAACACTGGAGAAGAGAATGGGATTAGCAGAACCCAATGCTATGACAAGATGATATTTTAAGGGTATGTAAAGTAAGGAAATTTGCTCCTTACCTGAGTCACATAGGGCTTGAGGCGGGGGGGGGGGGCGCCGGGGAGAGAGAAAGAGAGAGAGATCTGCTCCCTGAGAAAAAGCTGCACAAAGGTCAGCATGCTGGGCAGGTCCTTGGAAAATGGAGTATATGTCCTGTGGGCAACAACTGCGGTACCCACAAACCAGTGGAAGAAGACAGACCCAGACCAATGGAGGAAACAGTAAGAACAATAGCTGTCACTTCTCACATGCTAACCACTCACCCTGTTCTGACTATTTCACATGGATCATTTTATTAAATTCTCACATAGTCCTGTAAACTTGGTAGTAGTGATCCTCATTTGAAAGGAAATAGAAGATCAGAGAGGGCTAGTAACTTGCCCAAAGTTACACAAGGAGCAAATATACAGAACTGGGATCAGTACAAAAATAGCTTTCTCATAGCCAAGTAGAGGTGTGTGTGTGTGTGTGTGTATGTATGTGTGTGTGTGTGTGTGTGTGTGTGTGTGTACATGTAGTTGGGGAGGGGGGGAAGATGAAAGAGAAGAAAAGAAATTCTTATTTACTGATCATCAGCTGCAGGCCAGGCCAGATACTACACAGTAGTTTTTTTTTTTCCTCTCTTCAGCCCTATGTACTAGGATATGTTATATCTCATCACAGGGAATTTTCTGAAATGCAAATGATCCCATTCAGTTCTCTTCTCTTGTTTAAAAGATTCTGATAGTTTTCCATTGTCCTCAGCAGAGACTCTAAATGCTTTGCATTGGCTTATAAAGTCCAGCGTGACCTGACTCTGTCTTTCCATTCTCTCTGCACCCTGTACTCAAGCCCCTCTGAACCATATATGTCTTCTACATCCACCTTTTCTTTTTTTCTTTTTCTTTTTTTTTTGGGGGGGGACGGCAGGGAAGGGGTTAGTCAGGGGGCTCGAACTCAGAGCCTGTGCACTGTCCCTAAGCTTTTTTTGCTCAACGCTAACACTCTGCTACTTTGAGCCACAGATCCACTTCCAGTTTTCTAGTGGTTAATTGGAGATGAGAGTCTCGTGGACTTTCTTACCCAGACTGGCTTCGAACCTGGATCTTCAGATCTCAGCCTCCTAAACAGCTAGGATTACAGGTGTGAGCCACCAGCACCTGGCTAACATCCACCTTTTCTACCTCCATCCCTTTGCTCCTCTAATTAATTCAGGCATCTCTTCCCTCAGACTTCCCTAAAGTCCCAGCCTTGCAGTTTCGCAGGGGTTCTTCCCACAGTTCCCAATGGGCACAGCAACTTCCATACAATTCTGTAACTATCCCATTAAATGCCTATCTCCTCTACATGGTGAACTCTTTGAGGCTGGTGGCACAAGGCCCTGGCCACCAGTATGTTATTGAATGAAAGAATTAATGAGGCAGAAAAAGAGTACAAATGAGAAAGTGGGGTTCTAGTTGTGGAGTGAAATATCACCTCCCTGCACCCCTGCTAACTATCCTCCCACCTGTCTGTCCACGGGCCACAGGAAACATGTCTGGGAACCGCCGTACAGCCAACATCAAGAGCCTGGGTTATTCAGACTTGTTCTGCCTGAGCAAGGAGGACCTGCGGGAGGTGCTGAGTGAGTATCCACAAGCCCAGACTGTCATGGAGGAAAAGGGCCGCGAGATCCTGCTCAAAATGAACAAATTGGATGTGAATGCTGAGGCGGCTGAGATTGCCCTACAGGAAGCCACTGAGTCCCGGCTGAAAGGTCTCGACCAGCAGCTTGATGATCTACAGACCAAGTTTGCTCGCCTCCTGGCTGAGCTGGAATCCAGCGCACTCAAGATTGCTTACCGCATCGAAAGGCTGGAGTGGCAGACCCGAGAGTGGCCAATGCCTGAGTATGTGGTAGAGGCTGATGATGAAGGCGAGCCTGGGGAGGGAACTTCCAAGGATAGAGAAAAACCCCTAGGCCCACAATGAACTCATCCCTGACCCTAGGTCTCCCATCTCCAAGTGAATCTAGAGTTGTAAGAAAGCTTACCTACAGAAATTCTGCCAGCCTTTCACCAGGTCATAGACATAGACAACTTGTCTGAATTGGTCCATAGATGCCCAGCTAGAGATGTGAGAGTATAGCACACATTCATCTCACACTCACCAGTTACCACACACACACACACAAAGAGAGAGAGAGAGAGATGCACATATACATGCTGGCATAAGACTGTACATTCCACATAATGTTCTATAATTCCTATTCTCAGAACACATATGCTTCTTCACGTCTAACACCTGCAGACTCTAAAATATGTACACATTCCATCATGCATCTCCTAAGCACACATTTGCTGACACTCACATAACAATAGAATCACCCCCACAGGTGTTCATATGTTTGTAAAGGCACAAAAGCACATCCAGAGCTTGCCCAGTCCAAGGTATTCTTTGAATATTCCTTACGTGGGTGGTTGGTGAGTGTACCCTTCAAGATGCACTTCAATAAAGTATTCGCCTCTTTACAAAGCATCTGTGGACTGGAAAGAAAGAGCAAAGTCAGCGGTGGGTCAGGATGAATTCTGTTGGAATTCTGAGTCACAGAGGTGAGAGGCACAAGCTGAATAGTAGCTGACAAAAGAGGGATTCCAAAATGCTGGGGTTCTTGGAAAATAGAGAATCAGTACTGAGTCAAAGTGAAGAAAGTTTATTCATGACATGACTGTAAATGTGCACAGGCTTGTATGGATATATTCACATGCCTAGGCTGCCCATCAGATCCCACACTACAGCATCAGTTTTCAGCATGGTGAACGCTAGGGGTTCCATATAATTTATGGGCCAAAGCAGATATCTCTTCTTTTTTCTTCTTCTGTCCCAGGCCTGGCTCCTAAGGCCAAAGTTTTCCTGCATTCAGAGTCATTTCCAAGGGGACATTACTTCCCTATATCTTTTTCCTGGTCATGTCCTATCTCTACTACCAGATGTTGGAGCTGTCTGGTATCAAGCCCTCCTTTTGAAAAAAAATATTATCTCAAAATAGAGAAGGGAGAGTATAGACTACATGGAGTGGAATATCATGATCAAGGACACCAGAGATGAGGATGAACATTTTGGGAGTTATGGAGTAACTTTGGTACATTTGGAAGTTACTGGTTTGGGGCAGGAAAGATGTTAAGGAAGTTTGACATCATTTCCATGTCTTCAGATCTGAGCTGTGCTAGATGGTATTTTATTTTATATTATCTATTATTATTGTCATTGTCATTATCATTAATTTTGCCAGCACTGGGGCTTGAACTCAAGGCCAGGGCACTTTCCCTTAGCATTTTCACTAAAAGCTGATGCTCTACCACTTGAACCACATTTCCATTTCCAACTTGGTAGTATTTTAAAAAGAACTCAACTTGTTAAGTTAAACTTTATATGTATAACTGAGTGACAGACAAGTCACAGGAGAGATTACTTTTTTCTTGAATTATTTAAAATTATGTAGTTCTTCTGTGATGTCTTCTTTACAAGGTGTAAGATTCACAAGGCCGACATTAGGTCTTGTTAGGGCCAAAATTGTGCCTGGCACATAGCAGATGCATAAATACCACAGATACTGTTTGTTAACCAAAGTGAGGAATGTTGAACCAGATACATGCCTCACATTGGAAAATGTTTGAGCATTTCTCAGATTGTTCTACTATCTCTGACTTCAAATCCTGTTGAACTAGAATAGAAGGGTGTTCTATAAAGCCATTTTGATGGTACCTGAGGATTCATGGAACTGAGAATAAGCTTTTTGTTGACACATGACACAGTGTATGTCTATCCCCAGTGAAGGCTCTTTTAGAAGTGCTTCCTACCACGACCTAGAATCCTGGTTTATGGCACAGAATGACAGCTGGCTGTTTGGCATATTCTAAATGCAGAAAACACTCTTCCAGGTCAGATATTCATTTTTCTCTGCCAGAAAATGCTACTCCTGGGGGTAAAGTTAGGCCAGGATGGGCAGAAATGAACACAATTTTAACTTCCTGGAGTAAATGAAAAAAACATATTAATTAATATGTATCAAACATTAGTGTTTGATATTCATAGAATATATAACATACATAGTATATATGAGCAAATATAGTATATACACTATGTACATACATATATAGTATGCATTATATATGTGTATATGTAGTATATATAAGTATATATACTATGTATATATGTGGATAGTATATATCATGTAGTGATATACATAGTACGTATAAGACAAATATGTGGCAAGAAATTTTATTAAATAGTCATTTAGGTGTTTAAACATTTTATCCCTCCCCTTACCATAAGAAGATACCTAAATCTTTACAGCCCTTAAACATAAACTCTTTTGAATTGTAGGGTCAAAAACAGAAGCTGAATTCCAGTGGCTCATGCTTGTAATCCTAGTTACTTAGGAGGCTGAAATGTAAGGATCTCAGTTCTAAGCCAGCCTGGGCAGGAAAGTCAATGAGACCCTTATCTCCAATTAACTAGCAAAATGCCAGAAGTAGAGCTGTAGCTCAAATTGTAGAGCACTAGTATTCAGTATCCAGACCATGAGTTCAAGCCCCAAGACCAGCAAAAGGAAGAAAGAAAGAAAGAAAGAAAGAAAGAAAGAAAGAAAGAAAGAAAGAAAGAAAGAAAGAAAAAAGGAAGGAAGGAAGGAAGGAAGGGAGGGAGGGAGAAAGGGAGGGAGGGAAAACAAAAGAAATGATTAAAAAGTGCCTTAGATATTGTTTGTGAAAGCCCAGAGATCCTAGGTTTTTCACCAACAAGTCATTTAGAGATAAAGTGTATCTACCTGCAAGGGCTTAGAATGGAAGAAACAAGCTACGGACCTAAGAAGAAAGAATCCAAGACTGAAAAAATGTATGACATCTTGAAGTTATTAGGTTTGTTTTTGTTTTTGTTTTCCCCCTACTGTAACATATTTCCAAATTTTAAGCAGCAATCATTGATTACCTCCCAGTTCTGTGAGGCAGAAACACAGGTTCTATTTAGATTTCTCAAGACTGAAGTCAAGGTGTTAAGCAAGTTGGGCTCTGTGTGTGTGTGTGTGTGTGTGTGTGTGTGTGTGTGTGTGTGTTTTATTGTAAAAATACTGTACAGAGGGGTTACAATTACATGAATATGGTAATGAGAAGTTGGGCTCTTAACTGAAGCCTCTGGAGAATTTACTCCCTCAGGCTGGGAATGTGGCTTAGTGGTAGAGTGCTTGCCTAGCAAGCCTGAAGCTCTGGGTTTGATTCCTCAACACTACATAAACAGAAAAAGCCAGAAGTGGCGCTGTGGTTCAAGTGGTAGAGTGCTAGCCTTGAGCAAAAGAAGCTCAGGGTCAGTGTCCAGGCCCAGAGTTCAAGGTCCAGAGTTCAAGCCCCAGGACTGGCAGAGAGAGAGAGAGAGAGAGAATCTGCTCCCCAGATTATTCATGCTACTGCCAGAATTCCATCTTTTTGAGCTTCCTGTTTCCTTGATACATGGCATCTTCAGGCCAACCAAGGCACATTAAATCTCTCCCATTGTACAAGTGTTCCACTTCTACAACCAGACTGAGAGAAACACCTCTTCTTTTTTACAGCTCATCTAACTAGATTAGGTCCACTTGAATACTCCATAATGATTTTTCTATTTTAAGGTCAGCTAACTATTAACCTCAGTTACAACTGCCATGTTGATGAGAATCACATCTGAATACAAAATTCTGTCAGTCACAGTCTCTGGGGGAAAAAGGGCTGAATCCCACTCTCACAGTGAGTTGGAGGTAGAGAACTCTGTGAATTGAGTCTTGGAATCTGGAGAATGATCACTATGCCAGAGCAGACCCTAGAGCCTCGGGAAATACCCCCTTGAATAAGGTGCATACCAATAATAACCACCATGATCCAAAGGCCAGAGGCCTTATCCCAGATATACAGAAATGCATAGATAAATACAGAGAACAGAAATGTCACAAAACACAATTGAGATTAAACACTCCCCCCAAATAGGTAAGTAAAAAAAGCTTAAATGAAGCTGGTGCCCAAAGCTCACGCCTGTCATCCTAGCTACTCAGGAGGCTGAGATCTGAGGACTGCGGGTTAGAAGCCAGCCAGGCAGGAAAATCTGTGAGACTCCTATCTCTGGAAGTGGAACTGTGGCTCAAGTAGTAGAGCGCTAGCCTTCAACAAAAAACAAGAACAACAATAATAACAAAAAAACTCAGGGACAGCACCCAGTCCATAAATTCAAGCCCTCTGATGGGTACAATTTAAAAAAAAAAAAAGCTTAAGTAAAAAAATTGCAAAAATCAAGAAATGTCCAAGTTTTTAATTACAGAAAAACATAACCATTATACATACATATCATTTGGTTCTCATGACAGTGTTAGAAAGTTTTCCATTATTATGCTCATTTTTCCAAATCAAACTGAAGCCCATAAAGCAAAAACAACAACAAAAAAAACAAACAAACAACCCACTAAATTTGATTTGTTGAGAAGTAACTTTATGTGTACCAGACCCTGGCCCCAGCGTACTGTCTCCATTCTTCCAACTATATGAGAAAGATGTCATTGTTTGCCCTATTTTGAAATGAGGAAAGTGAGGCTCCAAGATTCTATCATTTGCTCAGTATTACCCAGCTCCTAAGTTAAATGCAGTGAAACCCAGATCTGTCATAATTTCTCTTGGAAGGAGATAAGGAAAGGGACTGCCTCAGCTTGAGACCAGAGCCAGGCAAGCTTCTTCCTCGGCTGGGATGACAGTTGTGAGCAGTAACTATGGCAACCAGGAGAGAAGGAACTAGTGGTGCAAGGCAAAGTTTGTGAGTCACTGACAGGCTGCCCAGCGTGATGAAGTGTGCTCTCCAGGCTGCAAGCCAAAGACAAGGGACCACCTGCTGCTCTGGAGAAGAGCTGCCAATTCCAGCTGAAAGGGCGGGGGGGGGGGGGGGGGGAGGAAGGAGAAGGACCCCCCCACCACCAGGGGGGGGAGTGGCGGGAAAGGGGGGGGGGGGGGATCTGCATGCATACAGTTGTGAGAAAACAGGGGTTTTAGCATCACTGCTAGATTTCTTGGAATGGATCCAGGCCACTCAAAAGCCCTCCTGCTGAGAGCACCGAGGCTTGAGGTTTAGCTCTCTTCCTAAGTCCTGCAGGATTTAGGGTCCCACCCACTCCTTTCCTGGGTTATGATTACAGGCTACCTTGGCCTGGCTAGGATTTGGGACTTACACTCCTGTATTTTCCCTGTTAGTGACTCCTCTATAGAAGCTTCTTGTACTTACTCCACCCTTTTCTTTCTTAGTGTTTGGATGCTAATTCTGGAAGACAGATGGAAGTAATGTATCAAGCTTAGGATTCACAGGATGAGGGACTGTTCAACCCAGGGAGAGAGCAAGGGCACACCAGGGGCAGGAGGCAAGGTGGGTGGATCTTGGCTGGTTTGGGACTGAAGGGGGTGTTTAGCCTGGTGCTAGGATCAAAGATGGCCTGTAAAAAATGGCATCAGAGACATGGCCCAAATCAGAGAAAGTGTTCAGCTGGTTTTAAAGTAGAAGAGATGGGAAAGAGCAGGTAATTGGAGCCAGTCAGCGTTGGGTTTTCATTCTGAAATAGCACTTATTAGTCTGCTCTACAAAAGCTAGCAGTGGTAAAGTAAGCAAATGCTAGAGAATTGAATATAAATTAGCAAATGAATTAAAACTGTCTACTGATGTGTAGAAATAGTGACTTCTTAATAATGGTGGCACCTATGACTATTACTCATATGCTTCTAGCTGCAGTTTGCTGTTGAGGGTTCCTGGACATAGGTTGTTCAGCTTCTCAGCCCAGGTGTCTGCTGGCCTCTGGGCTGTATAAGTGATGCCAGGCTTGGCCAGCAGAGGGTGCAAGGCAATCCTTCCCTCCTCTGCCTACTGCCTATTTGTCCTCAGGATTGCATTGCTTTGGAAAGCCAGAGAATTACCCAATGAGAAATGGAATCTGAGGCACAAAGAATGATAAATCATTGAAGAAAGAAATCAAAGAAGGCATGAGAAGGTATAAAAACTTCCCACCCTCATGGCAGAAACGGTATTATGAAATGGCTATAATATCTAAAGTAATCGACATGTTCAATGTAATGCTCCATCAAAATCCCAGTGTAATTCCTTACAA